TTTTTTCTGAGCTGGAACTGTTTATTTATTACACATCTAACATGTATCGAATCAGTCATATATCCATATATCTACTGCAACTTTAAGCTTGGTGGATATATGATAAGCTTGGTTCTTGTTCAATTGGATATATGATTTTTTTGATATTTGCATCTAGATACAGTATGCCAGAATTCTAGTGCGTTTCTCTAGCAACTTTTGTAGATTCTCGAACATGTGCCTTGATACACTGCAATCATGTAACGAAATACTACTAGCAAGATTTGTGCCTATTTTAGCATAGAACAATCCTGTATTAAATTTGGAACACTCTGCATAATTTTTCATGCAGCATTTTGACCAAACTATAGCACTTGCAAAAAGTCCTCCAAATCTTATTTGCTTCAAGCTTTGGACTTTTGCAGAGAGGTCTGGCGAAATGTTATACGTACACAACAGTCTTTAATGCTCTCGATATTTGTTTGCAAAGACTGACAGACGCTTTCCTGCATCACTTAGTCTTGTTTTTCATGACTTACAAAAGTCTCGTTTAACATATTCACGACAAGGCCGATTTTTCATTACTGCCGCCTCGGACCAGAGCATTTTCCGCTTTGTCAAATTTGCGACCCTCCCGTGGGTCGTATTGTCCGAAGTGGCAGTTTTTCTGGAAAAAATTCAAAAAATGTTTCCGAGAATTTCCCAGAGAGGTTACCGAAGGCATTGATTGTCAAAATATGCTTTAATTGAGATTTTGGGCTCCTAGGTAAGGTTACAGTAATCATTCTGTACAACTCAACATCATAAATTTTCATGAAAAAAATGTGTTTGGAGGTTATTTCACATGCTGATCACGATTATAGTGTCCACTTTGTTCAGTATTGTCCCATGGTGGGGCTACGACAGCCGCACCGTAAAATTTTCGTTAAAAAAATCCGGGAACTGATTAAGAAGGCAGTACTAGGACTTGAAACTATCATTTTCCTAATCAGCATGCTACAATAACCTGTACATGTATCTTTTGAGCTTCCTGAGATGAACAATGAAAAAATCAATAAAATCAATAAAATAGGCAAGATCTTGACAGGTTCTTAACAGATCTTAACATAGTCTCTCGCCCTCCCATTATTTCTCGTGCATGTACACATGAATTTTCAGAAACAGCTCATTCTGCGAAGAATTAGGGCTAAATTCTGTGCCTTATCTCTGCCTAGGGTAACCTATCGTACCACTACATTACAGTATCCCGTGCCCGTATCACTCTGGCTGGAGCTTCGCCTAGGTGCCCCAATCATGTACCAGAATCCCTTAACATCGTAAACTGGCAAAGATAGAGCTTTAGAAATCTTACGACCCACCGATGGGTCGTATTGTTGTGAATGTGTTAATGAAGCTTCAACAAAGTCCGCGTCCTAAATATTTGCGCGTAAAATGAACTAATCAAAATGATTCTGCTAATCCAACTCTCGCATCTGATCAACAACTTAAATCAGTGATCATTCTGTCGGATGCTAAGAATACACTGATTGTACCTGTTTAGAGTTTGTGGAACAGATTTTTGTAAGTCAATCACCCTATGCATTTTTTACATGCCTAACATTACTGTAACACAAAACATCACTATTTTTCCATTTTGAAAAGGCCATTGATTCCCCCAGTACATCAGTAGGACAGTTTAACGATCACATTCTACTTGTTTACTACTCATTCGGCGGAACTATGTAACGCTGGAAAACACCTGAGCTGCCTCTTCACCGTCAACAATACTTGTGTGTAAGACGAAGTGGTCGCTCTACCTTCGTATCGTCTCGGTTTCATAACTAGTTCACAGGACTGTCTAAGGATTTCTAGAAAAGTCTTTCAAAAAGAAGTAATGGAAATATTTAACGCTACTCCAGAAGTAGTTATTCGCAATTTTTCTTGGGAATTTTTACTTTTTTCGCAGTTATTGATTTCTACAAAATTATTGTTCTCAGCAGTTTGATGAATAGAAATCTGTACATTTGAGAATTTCTCTAAAATTTCTACACCTCCTCTCCTCTTCCTCTCCTAACTTTTCCCCAGCGTATTTTGATTTGATGTCTACTTTCAGAAAATTTTTTTAAAAAAATTCTTGCCAAGAGACTGTTCTTGAAAATCACTATCATGTTTGAAAGTAGTTAGCACTTCATATTCACATGATTATCATTTTCTAGAAGCTTTCCCTGTAAATTTCTTGATTTTTTGGCAGCGTAAAAAGCCAGTTCATTCTTTTTTATCAATTTTTAGGAAGCACGTGTATTGTGAATTACGGAAGAAGAATTTTCACTCTATTAAGGAGCTGAGATATGTTAGGAATTTCAAAAATTTCCTTCCTTGTTCTTTTTTTTTCGATGATACTTCCGAATTCGTCCACACTTTTTTGTTTTCCCACTTCCCCATTCCCCCCCCCCCCCGCCCACCCCCCCCCCCCTCTCGCCATAAAACTTCTCCCTTTTATGGTCACCGATTGTTGTTATGACATTTTGTGTGTGCTGTGCGTCTTCCTTATCTCCGTCGCCCATCTTTTTCTAGTCATGAGGGGTTAAACCGCAATCAACAAAGGAAACTTTGGTTTATGGTCAGTTTTATTTGCGGAAGTCACATGAGATATGACGAAGGGGGGGGGGGGGGAGTGGAACAAGGTCAAAGTATTTTGAACGATAGAAGAAGTGTGAAAAAAAGGATCTAGAATATTTGCCTGTCATACTTATTGGTCCAGCAAATAATTTAGATGTTTCATTGATAGAAATTCTTCTGTAATCGCAGCTTTCGCTCCTTTATTAGCATAATATAGAGCATTCTCCACTCTTTCACACTTCGCTCTTCATTACTGTAAGATTACGGTAGGAACTTCTAGCACTATTGCAACTCAGCTGCAATCAGAGGGAGCTTCAAAGTCTAGGAACTATTCTGATGGAATTAGATCAGCTGGTTTTACTAAAAGAATAGCTTATTGCGTGTCTCCAAAGCAGTTCAAATGGTAGATTTCTGATAAGTATTGGAAAAACCGCTGTCGAACCTGTCATAATGTTTGATCTAGGAATTACGGCAAAATGGAAAGCTCATTTATGGAAGCAGCAGTGGCGGACCAGGCAGAGCTCATGCCCCTCCCCCCTCCCCAAAAAATGGTCGCGAAATTTTTGAAATCTGCTTACATGGGTTACAGAAGTGTGCAAATGGCTTGTTTATTCTTGTAAATAAATGAAATATATTATAATTGTAAAATTCCAAATTAGCATTGTAAAATTTTCGGGGCTTGGCCGGCGCCAAGTTCCTTTTTCTAGATTTTAGGGGTCATAGGCTCGTGAAAATTTCGAGAACCACCCCAAAAAAATTTTTCGGGGTGCGTGGCTAACGCCAAAGACTTTCAATTAGAAAATTTTTTTGCCCCCTCCCTCCCCCGCCCCCCCCCCCCCTTCCCGAACAAATCCTGGGACCGCCACTGGTAGCAGTGCTAATTGAACTAATGACGAAATTTGCTACTTTTCGGTTTGATGTTAAGGCAAGTGTTTGCTCTCATTTTTCACACTATTCTGTAAGTTAAGATCATTTACATAATTTTTCATTTCCATGTTGAGACTTTCTGATAAAATTAGTCTGAGCGTAAGTCTTGTTATTGCAATCCTAGGAAGAAAACAAATGCGAAAGCCGACAGATGTAAGGTATCCATTTCAAGTTGAGATGCTCTCGCTCTAGAAACCTCGCCGTACTAATGCGCTCTGACCAAAAACTATTACGGCGTTATATACTATATATATATATATATATATATTCTCTTTTTCTCATAATTTTAGAGCTACCAATTTTTGGTGCTGATTCAAATGCCACAACTGTATTTTTCACGTGTTTTTAGGAAAGACAAGAAAGGTCAGTAATGTTTTTTCATTTTGGAGCTGATAAAGATAATGTTGGGGAAAAGTTGCAGATAAAATAGCAAGAATCCATGGTGTTGTGCCCCATGGCTTTCGATTCTTCCCATTGTTTACTTAAGTTTCGATTTATCTCATTTTTCTTCTGTATTAAAATCTTGAGAAAACGCAGATTCCTACATAATTTCACCACCAGTTTACTCGTGGCGATCAGTGGTAAGATTTTTTGATCTACTCCCAATGAACAAAGTGTTAATCGACGTTTTTATGAAGCATTATGTTTTGAAATATAAACAAAATAACTTTTTTGAAGACTTCCATTGGCGTTAACTTGATTCAGCTACAAAAATATTCTACAAAATGTATATCACTAGATATTATTTGATTGTTTTTCCGTTTACAGCTACTGAGAAATTTCCTTAAATCATAGAAGCCGGGGAGTTTCTCTTCTACTTTCCGCAGTCTACTTAACTGTATGTCCGATCATCGCTATCTCTAAAATGATAATACAGAGAAAATTTTTTTATAAGGAAGAGGGTCAGGTCTCCAGAAATCCCGTGTCAGCGTCGCCTTAGTGCCGGCTGGAACCAACGTGACGCACCCATCCTGATCGATCGACGTTCCGGCACGGCACTGGCACAGCTCTGGCATTCGGGATCAGCTCTGAGCGCAGCCTTGCAGGCGAACTTATGGAAAATAGGAAGTTACACTTTTTTACGATACGAAAGAATTTTTTGTACGACATTTATCGTAAAAAGTCGAAAATGTCTATCTGTGTCATCAAATCCACTTTCTTTTGAATTATCCTAACTCCCCACACTGATCCGCTTAATTCACTCCATCCACTTCGCTATTGATCAAATCAGTGAACTGACCAATAGCGAACTGGATCAAATGAGCATCCGCTTCGCCTGGTCAGTAATTTGACCAATAGCGAATTGGACGTAATAAATCAAGCGGATCAAGTGGATTAAATGTAGCGCGTTCCTTGAGCCTCTCTCTTCCACTTCCGAGCCTGGCTTTCTTCCTTCTTTTTCCTCTGATGATCACAATATCCTAGCTTTTTTCTACTCTCTTCGCACGCTCAGATTTCCAAACCAAATGATATCCTGAAAAAAATTATGTTTTCAGTTCTTCCAAGTGGCAAATCCGCTGTTCGACGATTTCTACATGTTCAATCCACAGTCGAGCTCTCCATTCGACGATCCCTTCTTCCGAGGTGGTGGTGTGTTTGTTTAGAATCTAGGCCATTTCACCTTGCTACAATGCCAGTTTCTTCTCTGGCTTTCCTGTCTTTGGATTTATTTCCTGCAAATTGCATTGCACTTGTAAATGTATTCAACGACCTGAATCGCTTTCTTTTATTGTTTGATTTGTTTGCAAAATGGGCCTATCGCAGAAATTTTTTTCTAGAAAAATTTCGGCACAAGCCGATCTGACTTACAGTAAAAATACCCCTTATTGCATTCACATGGTGAAAAAATAGTAATGCTGGGAAAGTGAAAGTTGTTAGTGCAGATGAAAATTTTTGGATCTTCAAAAAGCAAAATTTTTAGCGTTTGAGCCCGTCCTTCCAGGAATTTTGAAAAAAATATCGCTGCAAAATTTTTGAATGTATACGTAATTTACCATCGCAGAGAGCACGTAGACTACGGCCAATGCGGCGGAGCGTTTTACCGTCTGCTTATCCTAAGTCAGCGTTCTCTCTCGCGATAAGCGTCAACTTGGGACCGCGGCGAAGCTCTGTATGCAATTTGTGCATTGCCTGCGTCGCTGAATTCCATAATCCAAAATATTACTCGACTTCTGAATTATACAGGGTGTCCCAAAAGTATGTATCGAACGTTTGATCGTTAATATCTCTCTTCCCAAGAGGTCTTTTGCCTTGCTTCAAGTACCGTTTTGTAGAGCTAGCTTCAACTTAGATTTGCATTATAGAACGAATCACTCATTCCTCTTCATTACTGTAGGATTACGGTAGAAACTTCAAAGAGGGTTTTAAGCAATGAAAGGCCATATTTTGCCTTAGAAAGGAAATAAAACAGCCTGAAAGTTTTCACACTAGGCTAATTAGAGTTGCTGATTATAACTGTAAAGTTCCCAACTTATTATGATGCTTCATTGAGGAGTTATGCCAGGTAAGAGGTAGCGGCCATTTTTTCAATGTTCCTAAAAAGTGCGATTACACCGTTTAGAAAGCTTTGTAATCTTGTGAATAGTTGAGTATTGAACTCAGCATCCATAAAAACCCTATTACACAAGTTTTCACAATTTTTTGAAGAATTTTGGAACTGCAGCTTTTTCCACATTGACACCATATGTTTCAAGTTTCTACCCTAATCCTACAGTAATGATGAAAGACGGGTGATTCGTTCTATAATGCAAATCTAAGTTGAAGCCAGCTCTACAAAATGGTACTTGAAGCAAGGCAAAAGACTTCTTGGGAAGAGAGATATTAACGATCAAACGTTCGATACATACTTTTGGGACACCCTGTATAATGATTGAGTATTTCTTTTACAGAATAAAAATGTTTTTGGGAGGGGAGGGGGTCATATACTTTTGCAACACCTAAACACTGTAAATAACTGTGCTGTAAATGGTGTTCGCCTGAAGGGTAATCCCGGACGAAGGCAACTGTTTTATCGTCACGAAGCGGGCCTGATCGCGGAAGTAACAAAGACGTGCAACATCAGAGACGATAACCGCGCGCGCGCCGCTTCGCATGCGCCTACGTCATATGGGCGGCCGCCATTGTGCGGAACTAGTCTCAATTATTTTGTTAACGTAAAATATGTGTTTTTATTGAAGCGATTTTGAAAATCTCATATTGAGAAGATATTGTGATTAAGATATAATTTCCAAACCTGCATGAAAAAAATCATGTTTTTCCAGAGCGGACACGAATATTTCGAAATGACATCTTTGATCGGATTGCTCCTCCACTTAGACGAATGAATAGCTGTGATGATGCATTGAGAGGAGTAGGAATTGTACGAAATATACCAATTCGGGTAGTGGGAGGAGGAGGAGTGGAGGTAAATTTTCATGCTCTAAAATTTTTCTTTCCAATTTTTCTCTGCGAAAAGAAGAGATAAGTTTCTAGCGTATTCCCTATTTTCCTTTCTTTGTTGCTATTTCACTCCGCCAAATCCTAATCACTTTTTGTGAAGAGCTAATCTCCTTCGTCCTTTGCGGGCTTCAAAAAAGTCTCGATGTTCTTGTAATCGAGCAAACAAGAGATTTACCAACTTGTTTGCCTTTTTCAAATGCCCAGTCGATTTCTTTCCAGGGCCAGGGCTCCGATGCGAAAAACACAAACACCTCGAATCGCATTGCCATTCCCATTCAAGTTGGCGGTATGGGTAACAGATTCCAACGACGATTCAGTGAAAGCAGTGACGGATCCACACCGAGAGAATTGAGGAGAGCGATGAGGTGGGTCAAAAACACGTTGAAAAACACATTGAAGAAAAATTAAAGGAGGGAGAGATAAGGGCCTGCCTATATAATCAGAAACTTCGCATCTTTATTGTATGATTTTAGAGGCGCGAAACAAAAAATATACACTCAAACATAACCAGCAATCTTATTTGAGTAGGGAATGGATACCTCAGCCCTACTAAAACCCCATGGTAAATGGTGTCTGTCAATAAAATTGTGTCCGTTAATATCCCAACCACTCCCCCACCCCCCTTCCCCTCCTTCCCTTCATCCCACTCCGCTTTCTTCTACCTTCTTTTCCACCATTTTTCGTTTTGAATAGTCAAGGTTGCTGTTGAAATTTGAACAGTATTACTCAGTAGGTAGAGAGCAATAAGCTGGCACAAAGTCCCTACTTTCAATTTTTGGCTCAAAGGAGGTTTTCTAGTTTTTTAAGGAGGCTGTATAAAGTCATCATTGGCAATTTGAAATGTCGACAGCTCTTTCGGAATGGTTTTCATTACTACCCGAAAGCTTCTTCGGGAAACGCTTGCATCCCCATTGCAAAAAAGTTTTACGATCAAGAAAAAAATTTGCTTGTCCAAGCTTTAGCGATTACCACTTTTGAAGGACTCTAAATTTTCTTGTACATCTCGGCTTTATGATGCCCGGTGTTGTTTTATGACATTTGCGTCACTTCGTAAAATTTTATGTGTGGTGAAAGCGGATCAGATGTGCTTCTAATTGGAAGGTTCCAATGAAAATTTGTTAATATTATGCAAACACGAGGCATTCGTTGACTTTCGTTTTATTTCCCAAAAAAGATCAGTGGCCCTCATTCGATGGCCCACATGTACAACAGCAGTTGGCAAATGCGTCTTAAATTTTTTCGCGTATTTTCGTTTCTTTTTTATTTTGCTTTTTATTTTAAAATTTTCTTCCATGACTAAGCACTGTCTCTTCACAATAGTGGTCGAACTTCCAAGAGATTCATTGGTAGTTATGGATTTTTTTTTGAATTTTTTGCGCTTCAAAAGCATAAAAATTATTTTGGATTTGGATCAAAAGCTTTAGAGGTTTTTGAAACTTCAAAAAAAAATTTTTTTTGTAGCATACGAAAACTGAAGACAACTCTTCAAATGTGACTGAATTCTGATCGAGTTTATACTTTAGCTTCAAAACTTACTGAAACAGGGTTCGATTACTCTTAAGTTTCAGAAGTTTTTTGATTTGAATAACTTTATCGAGTCCTACTTTTTACATCCTTTTTTAGCCAATACTAGAAAATCAGCTAATAATCACTTGAATATCACTTACACGCACGAATTGTGCGTAGTATGAGCATGAACGGCAAGAAAAACGAGGTGATTGAGAATGGCAAACTCCGCCCCATTGTTCCCAGACTCCTCCCACTTGCACAGCTATCGGCTGCATGCATGCAAGAGTACCAAATGTAATCAAGACTTTTTTGTCAGCTAAATAGGTTTGCCCCCTATTTGCCCCTACTGGGCCAAGTAACCCCATTGTACGGATTTCTTTCTGTTCGCGATGTGTTCCAAATTTCACATTGTAACTACTTTTGCCCTGTTTCCCAGACGAAAACGTCTGCAATTTGTCCCTCCATATGGTCCGCCGTTCGCCCTACGCGTTCCTTTAGTGATTTTCCCGACTGTAATTGTTGCCCGAAAACTTTTTCTAAGGCAGAGCAGAGAGCCTAACATCAACATAGTCTGCAAATCGTACCTATTTTGCGATTTTTCGCATTCGCATCGTTTTTCTAGGTGGCTGGAACATGCTCATTAGATGGGATCAAATGTTTGAAAAAGAGCTCTTGAACTAGCTTGACGGCTAGATTTGTGTGGAACTGATCCCTATGTTGGGCTTAGCAGATTATGTGCCGCAAAAATAGCTGCTTATTCAAATTTCTTTCAAAATAGATTCTTCGGGGAAGAAAGGTTCAAATAAGCGTTTGTTTTGACGCGATTCGCATCAGTCACCTACTTTTTGGTTGATAATGGGACTATTTGAACTTACATCTCGTCAGTGAATGCGTTCTAACTATATAAAATCTTTATGGGAAGTTCTTCTAAATTTTCGCTTTGTTAGCTTGATGTGAAAGTACTTCATGACAAATGATGCTGTTAAAATCGACAGTCGCTGAGAATATATGACTCCGAGTGATGATCCCTTTGGACCTTATTTCTCCGAATTATTGAGTCTGGTTACCCAAGCTCTTTTAGAAATATCTGCATAGTATACGAGGTATTCTCAGCAGATTTTGCGCAAAATTTTACTTACTATAAAACGTCATTTAAATGTACTTGTAACCACTTTTGACTTTCTTCGAAGAATATTTTGCCAAAAAAACCAACGCGAGAAAACGAAAAGGTCATTGCATTCCAAACAGTATTGCGCTGATTTAGAGTTGAATTGGATCAAAGTAAGATCTAAGGCAGAGAGTAAGTTAAAAGTATTAATGACATACCTAAACAAATCCAATTTTGTAGAAATTGTGACGAAGAATTACAGAATTCATTGAAACATTTTTTATTGTTATTTGTTCCGCCACTTTAGCGGCTAAACCTACTAAAAAGAGACTCATTTAACGAGCGCATGACCCTTCACTAACAATTTTCCATAGTTATCTGAATTTTAGTAGGAGGATGATGGCTGAGTAGTATGTTGTATATTCTTGTTGGCCAGGATTTTAGTAAGGAAAGAACTTATACTGCTTTCTTCGTAAGTTTCTTTCACTTTGATTTTCGTAGGCAAATAAGAAACCTACATCAAAAATCATCTAAATTTACTGAATCAGTTGGAGTTTGGTTAGTCTCTTGCATCATTACCACCACTAATTTGTGAAAAAAAATCATTTTGAGATTGTAACATATTATGATTCATAAGAGACGGCCGTTTTGCACTACAGTAGCCGGCAGACACGCCGCGCTCGTCAACCCGTCGCGCACGCGGTAAATTTCTTCTCCCTCTTTTTTTTCCTGCAAAAGTTGCTGCAGTGTCGCGCTATGTGGTCCAGCACGGAATTCTCGGTAGCATTACGGTAATGCATTTCGATCTATTTCCGTCGTAACAGCATGTTTAGAAGACTTTCTAGAAGTACTGCTAGATTTGCCCAACTAATTCACGAACGGGTCTAAATAAATAAAATAAGAGTCTGGGAAAAATTTTTTGATGTAGATCTTACGAATTTTTTTGAGAATGACGCGTGATTAAGTGCTTATATAGCTGATATTTGATGAAAAACGCCTACGTTTTCTTAGCTAGTCAGTTAGTTTAAATGATTCAAGTGTTCTTGAATCAATCGAAAGATGATTCACGAAGTGTTCTTATGCCTCTTGACTGCTTTAGTCTCTTTCGACTACACTTGATTCACCGTTTCGGCCGACAAAAACGAACGACTCGAGCTTGGCAAGGATGTAAAACATGCGCTTTACAACGTCGCGTTTCGGAGAAAAGCACTTCATGTGCAGGTGCAAATGCGTGAAATTCAGCCAAATGTGAAGAAGAAAGTTCTGACTTTAATGTAAAGTCACAGTTTAGTGCTTTTTGTGATTGCGATTTAGTCGTGAATTAATGCATTACTCAGAATTGGACGTAGTCATAGATGTGGTTTTTCTTTGCGAAATTACACTTCTATTTGCTAAATATCGCCTTAATGACTCAAGATGGAGGAGTCTTCTGTATTTTTTGCTTTCTTATTGCACTTGATCTTTGATGGAAGAGTAGGGCGTAAATTTATAGTTGAAATGTTCACACAAGGGAATACATTTGAAAAGTAGAATTTATGAAACCTCGTTTTTCCAGTGCTCCCCCCCCCCTTCCCCACCACTCCATTTTTTTCCATGAAAAATGCGTACAAAAATTACAGAAAAAGAAGTTTATATGGTTTGGTCTCTTTGATATCCCCCATTCCTTTACCCCGCCAAAAAGAGGTTATAGAATTTGATTTTTATGGTGCCTCCTTCTCCACCTCAAAAATCTAGGTGGGAGATTGACCTGAAATGGAAATTAAGTACAGATTCTTGGTCTCTTTTTTTTTGCCCCCTTCCTCCAAAATAATCACCTAAGAAATACGTAATCTACAGGAATGGTATACAGAAATTGGTTTTTTTTGATGCGTGTCCCCTCCTCCCTCTCCCTGAAAAATGTATATGAGATTCATAAAGAACTGTAAAAAAACATACAGAATTTGGTCTCTTTAGCTCTCCCACTCCCCCCCCCCCACGGCCCCTTGTTTCCCCATTCCCCGTTCTCGAATACAAAACCTACGCCTGATATCTCATAGTATTGAGAATTATTCTCAGTATTTTTGACAGAATATGGATCGCACACAAAATCCATCGGTTGTAACTGAATGCACTTGAATTTTTGAAAAAATTTTTTTATAAAAAGGCTTGGGTGATCGTTTTAATCCGTATGATATCTTTTCGCTGTGTATGATATATGATTTTTAGAACTCAAAAAGTTTATTATGCGCACAATCAAAATTCGAAAAAAAGAAATCGAAAAAAAAAACATTTTGGTGGAGACACCCTATCAGCCTTATTGTGAAGAAAAGGGTTTTGAAATTCACACCGAAAGTAAAATTAGAGGTTAAAAAAAGGATTTCTAATGATTTTGTGTGAGACTTTTGCTTTGATTTAGTGAACCGACTTTTTTTGTGCTAAATAGATTTTTTGGGTTTTTCTGTTTTGTATTTATCAAAAAGCTCCACTTTCATCGTTTTTACATTCTTACATTACCAACCTATAAGATCTCTTCCTTCCAAAAATAGCCCCTCCCGCAGCTGCCTTGAATTTTCTTATCATCTATGCACATGCCTATTTTTGGCAATAAATTTTTATGCGCCGTTGATCATGATCGGAATTTTTTCGCGACTATAAAGTCGTCGCCCTCTAAACAACGTCGAAATGTGTTTGCTGAATTCGACAGTGAAATAACATTGAATGATTCACAAGGATGTTTTAGGCAGGCGAAGCGGAGGGGACATGCAAATATTTTTTGTTGTTGTAAGAGGTCTGGAAAAAGTTTTATTGCCAGTGAAGACATCTCGAAGCTTTTTACTGGCTATGAAAAATCGATATATTGATTTTTGCTGGGAGAAATGCCGACTTTAGAGTCATTAGAAAGATAAAAATAGAATTTGGTTCTTTCTCCGCATCTCCTGCCCTCCACATGCGAAATATCAACCTTCTACGAAAACGTCTGATTCCTACTCTCCCCCCCCCCTCCCAAAGATGAGAAATCTTTTTTATCTAAAGGCTATGAAAATCGATATATCGATTCTGGTAGAAATATGTACGTAAACACTGAAAAGACAAAAATAGAAAATGTCCGATTTCTCCTTCTCCCCTTTTTCCCCACCCCGAGCGCGTGAAAACTTCTATTCTTTCGAAAACGAATTATTTCCCCCTTCTATCACTCCCCCCCCCCTGAATTTTGATCTTCTTTCACCCAGTAGGAGCATTTTCTAGCACTTTCCTGAAAGTAAAAATCCGTAAATGAGATATTCAAAAGTACTCGGATGATTAAAAGATAAAAGTAGAAAAACGTCTGACCCTCCCCCCCCCCCTCCCCCGAAGAATGTGAGAAAACTTTTCCTTTACCAGCGCGTCTTTGTCGAACCACACCCAAACCGCCCCTCGGTCGTCGCTTGCAGTCAGCATTCGCTCGACGACGGGGCCCCGCCCCCGTTCTTCTCCCCCGCCGTCGCTATCGCCGTGAATTCCTCCGGCGTGCGCGCTATTCTACCGCACGGAACCGTGACCTGTGTCATCACCAAGAGCCCTCCCCGTGCCATCCCCGAAAACCCCGTGTCCCCTCCCCCCCCCCCTCTCCGTCCAAGCGTCAACACTTCAAAATCACACTAATCCTGTTTACTTCTTGTGCTTGAAAGATGCCGGACTTGTGGTGTTTTAGCAGCGGCCGCATTTCACCGACGGATGCGACTCCGTTTGCACGGAGTTCCGGAGCGGATGAGGACGCGGAGCAGCGGAGTATGCGTAGCGATGTGGCCCCACATCGAACGCTGATCATTCCCAGCACGATCCCGGGCAAGACGATCGAAATTCCGCTGGGAACGATGAGCATGAATTCATCAAGGCAAGAACTGGTGGCCCCACCGGCAAGGAATGAACGAGATCGTAGTCCGAAGCCGGAATCGCAAATGGAGAAACTCACGCAACGGCTGAAAAACTTGAGTGAGTCCTGTTTCTTTCGTTTTTTCCTCTTTTATTCGTTTTCGCTTTTTCTTTTATTACTATTACTTTTCCATCAGTTTGCTTTTCCCTATCTAGGCCATATTTGCTTTGATTCGAAGCGATTCGTAAAGTTCTCACCATCCATTTTTTTGAGGGCGGATGCGAAGTTTTGTGTTTGCATTTCGTTGACTCATACTATGTCTGGTTTTTCTGTTTTATTCTAGAAAATTCCATCTTGTCATGCTCACCACTTTTGAAGAGCTTTTGCTCTATTTCTTTATCCTTGTTGACAAGAATGTAATTTGCAAGAAAGCCAGAAACAGACAGATTTGAAATCTCTCTAATTCTTATACCATTACTCCAGCTTCTTCTTTAGGTGAATTTTTTCGTCCTTCTATTTATTGAGATGATTTAGAAGTTTCTAATCTTGGTAGAAATGCAACTTGTTCGGGGGTTTTAGAGTCGAAAGTTTATACAAAATCAAACTTTCAAAATTTTTGAGCAGAACTATTTTCCCAGTTTTTGATCAGCGGATTTCATGTGTTAGAACACTTCAGTCACTCTACTATCATATAAAAAAATTTATAATTCAACCTTTCTTTCTGCCAGCAGAGAAAAAGCATGGTCAATGACTCAGACTGTATGAATTTCATTTTAATAAATCTGAGACGAGACAGGACGGGAGTGTGCCGACAATGTCGGCACCCTTCTTTGCAGTATCACTTTACTCACTGCTAAGTACCGTACAGGTCATGCCATAAGCATGACCTGCTGTGATTGAGTATCTCCAAAGCCCAGATGCATGTATACTACCTTGTCACGCCCATTATATGCAGCATTCTACCATTGCACCCATGCGGGCATGTTGATTGACTCAATAAAGCTGCTGAACTACCTTGTCTACCAGCAGCTACACTGCTCCACCAAAGGCGCTATTTCCGCCTAAGGCACTGTAAGCCACGGAGCCACCACATTTATGGTGCATCGGCCAAATTGGAAGGCCGACACAGTGCTTCGCTTCTAATAGCAGCACAAAAGGATCACCACAAAATGAAGCTGATTCCTCGCCACTACATAGAAGAAATTAGATGGCACACCAACGAACTCACGAAAGTACTGCAAGAGTATGCATGCCAAGGTGAGAAAATCACACTTCCAGAGGATGACGAACTGCGACGAAAAATATGCGCTTACAAACTGCGTGTAACGACAAGGATTATCAAGGAAATCGAAGCGGATACACAGTCATTACAAACGGAAATCGATCTACTGGAGCAGCTGTATTTGAAAAAAACGAAAATGATGAGGAAAGTTATGGTGAAGGAGCTCGACGCGCTTGAAGAAGAAATCAGGTATTTTCAAGCTATGTTCGATGCCGAAATGTTCGTTAACAAGCTGCATGATCGAGTACTGGAATGCGAGATAGAACTATCTAGACTGGAACGCAGAAAATCGTTCACTTCATTACAGAAAAACAATAGAGCCGAGCATACTTCTACGAAACCAGCAGCCAGAGAAGATACTCATATTGTGACCTCACACATTAGCAGAATCGCTGTTGTGGACAGCTCACCATCAGCTGTCGATAAACTACAAGATTCTAGCAAAACAGTCATTTTAAGTTTCAAAAGAAATGATCAGAGTTTTGCAACGACAGAAGCAGAATTATCGCAAGACATCAAGCTGGAGAAAGCAGATCCAGAAAAAGAAAACAACAATCGATGCGATAGGATTGACCGATGCGATACAAACAAGGCCCTATCTGCATACGAGGTACCTTTGCAGGTCATGTTGCCTACGGCTATAACAAAGGTAGAGAGAGCCGATATCGAAGATGGAAAGTCAAAACCTTCGAATTCAACTACGAGTATTCAAAGTGTAAACGTTTCGAGACTCAACTGCATGTGCCATAATCGATGTAATAATTTCAACTTTTCTATTGAAATCTCCTTGCTCCAACCATCTGCCTCCTGCCGTCGCTACATCCACTCATGCTTCGCGAATATCAACACAGTCGAAGCGATATGCGCCGCTCACCAACGACCACTACTCTATCCAGACAAAAAGAAGAATTTGCGAGTAGGAGTAAATTGTTTTACATGTTTCGATGTGTTGCCTCTCCTTTTCTCTTTCATACCCGGCCGGTCGCAGTGTGCCGGTACATTCGGCACCTCTTTCACACTTTTCGATTACTGTTTCCTAACAATCAGTCGTTATATTTTTATTACGTTCCTCGCTGTCCATTCGCTTTCCGTCGGTGGCAGTGTGCCGACAATGTCGGCACCCTTCTTTGCAGTATCACTTTACTCACTGCTAAGTACCGTACAGGTCATGCCATAAGCATGACCTGCTGTGATTGAGTATCTCCAAAGCCCAGATGCATGTATACTACCTTGTCACGCCCATTATATGCAGCATTCTACCATTGCACCCATGCGGGCATGTTGATTGACTCAATAAAGCTGCTGAACTACCTTGTCTACCAGCAGCTACACTGCTCCACCAAAGGCGCTATTTCCGCCTAAGGCACTGTAAGCCACGGAGCCACCACAGGGAGTACGGGTCTGAAGTTTTTTCTAATTTTTCTGAGCCTTTGAAGCCTAATTTTTGATTAGATGAGAATTTTGAATTTTGTAAAATCTACCTTTGTTACAAACTTCGCTATAGCTTTACACGTCTCATAATTGTAGGATTTTTTTGGAAAATGACTTGAAATACTATCTACCATCTATTTATTAGGGTTTTTATTGGTATATAAGTATTTAAAAGAGTGGGATTGGTTTGTCGATAAAATAAATAGGACACATTTTTTTGATAACTCATCATGTAATTTTCATTTATAAATAGACTTGAGCTACTATTTACCAGCCGCTTTCTTTCTTTCTTGCAGTTTTCCTTTCCCTAAATCGTTTTCAGAATTTATCTTTATTGACTAGATGGCTCTTCAACCCCTTATCTCAAATTTTTTTCTTCTGAAATTTTCTGAGAGTACATCTTCAATCCATTTTCCTACCCCATGCTTTTCAGATTTTGATATTCCCCCCCCCTCCAGCGCAGTTTCTTCTTTTCATGTGTCGTCTATCGTTCGCTTTGACGACATTCTCTTCCCCTCCCCTCCCCCCTATCCCGCATTTGTTTGCCTGCCCATCCACGTCTCCCAGTCATGAAAGAGTTGTGTACTGAGGTTCTACCCGATGATAATAGCTTATCGATCTGTTATCAGCCAACACAGCGATCGATTCACGATTTTACAGCATAGAAACCGGTTTCGGGGGGGGGGGGGGGGAGGGCCCGGTCTGAGTCAGGCAAACTTCCGGATGAAAGAGCAGCTGACAATCAATTTTATGCGCAAATTTTTCGCCGCTAAGACGAGTTTGGGCGCTGATTCAGTTACAGTCATAGCCTATGAATGTCAAATTTGATGTTGTTCGTCGAATTAAGGTGTGGAAGAACGAATTCTGCCGTCATGGATTACTGTTCCTTTCTTATATGTTCTTGCACACCTTATGAGGAACAGTGGTCCATGGAGGCGGCGCCTGCGTCGCCTAATGACGGAATTTGTTCCTCCACTTGAGTTAAGCTGTTCTATTTGATATATCTAAACTGGTATTGTGCGGGGGGGGGGATTAACGCACTGACGCGTTCAATGTACAGTTCTATCAAAACACATCTCTTTACCCCCGCGCGAACCCGCCCGCATGATCCCCCGACATCATTGATTGCGGACCGGGGGATCGCAAACGGAGATGACATTCGTACACAAGCGCGGTGATATGTTTATTAGTGCTGGATTGAAAGGAATGTCAAATGGATATCGATTCGATCCAGTGAAATCTAAAATTTTTGGGGTCTTTACCAGAAAGAGAATTTGAATCTCAAAAACTTCCCTAGGACGATAAAATAAAGTAGCAGAGAATTTCGGAGTAAATGAGACGTTGGAAAGTTAAGAGGATCTCTAACTTGGAGACTTCTTACTTCGATTCAATGAAATCTGAGTTTTGGGGTCTTGATTGGGAGAAAGAAATTTTTATTCTTGAGAGGATGCGGCAATCGAAGTGGCAAAATTATAAAACGGGAGTGAAAAGATTTTTAACTAAGCTTTGCAGCTTCCAAGTGCGACCAGCCAACACAATCGAATATCGATCTGAACTAATGAAATTAAAAATCCGAGATTTTTTCAAGTAAAAAAATTTTTCGACCTCAAGACAAGTTTTGCAAAGAGAAAATACAGCTAGCCATTGAGTAATTCATCCCCACTATTCTCCAAACCCCTTTATCTTCATAATATTTTGTTCAAATGTAGCACAGTATAAATCCAAAATTGGAAAAATCAAATGAGGCCAAAAATGAGTTTATTCAAGATTTTCAAATGGAGTGCACATTGTTTATCCCTATGAGTACCCCCTAAATAAAATTTTGACTTCACAACCATGTTTTTTTGCCTGTGCAAATATTTTACGCTCTCGCATCTTTGTGGTAGGAAATCCCTTAATTCGTCTATTGTCATAAGTTGGTTATTTACTCTAACTCAAATTATTCACTATTATTAAAGAGATCCATTTATTCACCTTTCTTCTAACAGTAATTGGCACTCATCGCTTGAAAAATGATAGTTAAAAGATGCACTGAATTCTGAAAAGACTAGCTTCTGCTAAGAGCTTGACGACTTCATTGATCTGTATGTACTCTATCTTCACTCTTCAAGCTCTTTCCTACTTGAAATTTTGTTTCTCTTCTCCTTCCTTTTATTTTCTTCAAAAAATGTGTATATTGACATCTGTCGCTTTTGCAGTCACGCAGCTGCTTTGCAAGAAGCTCGTTTTGATTTCGTTCGTACTATCAGCTGTTTGCTTTTTCGACTATGTTTTGCCCTCAGTTAGTTGCTTTGAGGAATGCTAGGAATTCTGAGCATTTCGGAAAGTAGTTGAGGAAGTAAATGCAGCACTAGCTGTGTAAAGCTGAAGTTCGTCAAAGATGATAGTGCCTTTACGAATCACATCTTTGAAGCTTCTTCTACACAAGTTTGCTTGCTCCCAACAGCAAGAGGTGCAGAATGCGAAAAAACGGTGCTCAAGCTTAAGCAGTACTGAGATTTTTTGTTGCTTAGCGATCCCACTTCTTATGGTGAAAGAAGGCTCTGAGAGTAGGGGAAAAGTCACGGAAAGTTTTGAGTCGAAGAGAGGCTGCGGGGGGGGGGGGGGTGCGTTATTTTCCTTTGGGAAATATTATGAATTTTTGCTTTCTAACTCATTTTCCGCAAGTGATCAAAATGTGAAATAATGCTTCAAGAGAGTGAGGTGACAAGGGCAGAGGGTGGGGAGGGGGGGGGGGAGGTAAGAAAGAATTGGAAGGTGATCGTATTCATACAAGTTTGGAGATGTTTTCAAATTTGTTTTAGGCATTGTCTGCCAATTTTTTTGTGATTTCAACGATTATTATTTTTTCCTATCTTTCATGAAGAGTGGTGGTATCGATATTAATGACATTAATATCGATATACAATTAATAATTACAGTGGCCAATTTTTATTTGTAGTTAATCATAGTCATATCTTAAATACTGTAAAAAGTGAATAAGCTCCGGAAACCCCACTCCTGCTCGCCTAGAAATTTTATTTTACCCCCCTTCCCTCCCCCTGCGAGAAGAACGGTTTTTTTCCAAGGTATAGATATTTAGATGGTTTTTTTCTGACTGATGTCATTGTTTTGAAGCAATATGTGTTTACTTTTTAAGGGTCTTATCTTTCTAGTTCTCATTACGACCATACTAGTATCTTCTATCTTGGATGTTTGGCACTCCTACCGTAATCCGTTCTCCACTGTAGACCATGTGTCATGGTGCATTTCTAAAGCTGCCACTAACATATCTCAAAGCCTATAGACGTATCTATGATATGCAATGTGTGGTTTTCTCATAGAAACGAACGGCTGTCTTCGAAACCAGTTGCTATTGCTTCGAACGATGTCGTTAGTTTTCTTATTGATAAAAGCTGCGTTCCTTTCATGCACATCCATCATTTTTCTCATTGTTCAGTTACTGCAATCTTAAAAGTTTTTGCTTTCTAACGCTTCGGGAAAAGAAGTTTTCACAAAAAAAATTTCTGCAAAATCTTGCTTTGTAATAGATTGATATAGAAGTCTTACACAAGATTCAAAATTTCTTTTGATTCAAAAAAAACTTAGATAGGAAAATCCTTGCACTTTCCAAAAGTACTTAAAGCATTGGTTGTACACCTAATTTCAGCCCATTTTTTGACACATTTTTTCGGAAATCTGATGATCCAGCTGTTTTAATTTCCTGCACCATTTCGTTGTCAGAAAAATAATTCCTAAACAAATAGATTGATCATTCAATTCTTTTTGAATTGCTCTATCTAATGGCGTCACACTTCATAAATCTGGTATATAAAGAATCGTTAGCTCAATTCAAAAGTCTTCCAATAGCGGGAAAACGCGGCAGGTCCCGAAGCGAACACTCTTCCAAATAGCACCTTTGAATTACTGGTCCTCTAGAAAATGTGACATTTCCACAAACTGCAACGACCAAAATGATTTTCTAGCCGACCTAAAATCTTATCGCCGTTATCAGAATGATAGAAGCTGACAAAGAGAACACCTAAAAGTCATTTTTGGAATTCCGCTAGCTAAAATTTCTGAAGCGCCTACTATCTTTGTTTTAGTGTTGCTTTTTTATTTGGGAGGAATTCGCGTTAAACGGATTTTTCTACGCTAATGGCTTTTAGATTTTTTAGATCAAACTTTCTGCTTCTAAGAGGAAAAAAATCTCTCACATCCATAAGCAAGATAGAGTTTTCGATACGTTCTACACGAAATAAACAATGTAATTTGAAAAAAGTCATCTAAAAAATTTTTCAAAACAATTACTTGTATTTTTTAGTGCAAGACAAGTGTATCAATCTAATACATAGCAATCTCATTCTAGAAAAGCAATTCTGGTGTTTAATTCCTTCCTTTTTCAGCTAAGCCGTTCCGCAATCCGAGTCATTCGACCGAGGTTCTTGATCGTGACCGACTGCGCAGTTCCAGTCCTGATAGCAGTGGAATTTCGGCTGATATCACCGACTCGAATTCGGGAGAAGATGCCAAGGTATTATTCGGATCTATTTTTGAAATAACCTGGGCTATATTCAACATTTTCTACAAAAGTGGTAACTCAATAGGGGACTAAGGCGAACGGCGGTAACAAACCTAAGCAAACATAGGGAACGACATGTAATGTTTATTTGTACTTGCCCAATGCATTTCCTCCAGACAATGCATAGAGTAAATAGAACCATGGATTCTGTGATGTTAAAGAGCGTGTTAGGTTTAATGGGAACATGTGGTTTAGCGGGAAAGAAAAAGTATTGTTCTTTGGCTCTTCAATTTTAAACTTTGAGAATATGCATAATTGCTAGATTTTGAGAACCAATGAGACGCAGGCTTTACTTAGAAGACTGGTCATATTTAGTTTAGTTTATTTATTTATTTAGCTTTATTTTTTTAGTAAACTGGTACATTAAGGTATTTTTTTACCTTGGTAGCAGTTTGATACTGAAACCTTTAGCTAAGCCGTTGCCCGAGCGGCACCTCGTAAAATTCAATCGTGGGTGAGAAATTCAACTTTCAACGCTTGCAGAGGATGTATTACCATTTGATTCAACTGGCTTGGCGGCTGAAAGGCGGGGCTTCGTGATCTAATTAAGGCTAGATAATGATCAGAGAGCACGCGTGCAAGAGAGACGCAGGCTGCGAAGCAGGCGCGAGCGGCCTTAATTAGGTCACAAAACCACGCCTTCCAGCCGCCAAGCCTTTTGAATCAAAAGTTACTTGACGTACGACCTTCTCTCAAATTGAGAACTGCGAATTAATCCTCCTATAAACTTTTTTGAAGATTTGATTCTTAACCACAACTTATTAGCTTGGCATGTATAGGAAGTATTGTGTGTCATTTTGTGAATTATGACAATTTTTTCAGAGAGCGAGTGATCTTTCCTCCCTGTCTAGCGTTGATCCCAACAGCTCTATCTCCGATTCTAGCGAGGAGCCCAAGTAAGTGTTGAACAACTTAAATTTCCTGAAGTTATTAGAGTGAAATGCCTGAAAAAATCATGCGCTGTAGAAGGTGGGTTTCGTAGAATCAGAACGGAAGTAGAAAAAAATGCACCTATCAATGGAAATAGGATTTTTGGTCGTCTGCTGTAGCAAGTTCTGTACTTTGTCGAATCAAAAGAGTGCAAAGTAACATTCTTTTGCTTCAAGGGAGTAAAATTTGAATCGATGATTATGAAGATATCGATGCTCAAGATCCTTTATCAGGTTTTATTTTATTTAGAGATCTTTAAGCTCTTGACTAACTATAAACGAACCATGAACTTCCAAAAAATCTTTGAAATATTTTTGCTACTAACAGGGTGTCCCAAAAAGCCAAAAAGTACCCCCAGATAAAATTTGAAAAGTTAGAAATTTTGTTGGTAAGTTGATCGGGTATTGATTTCCTATACGAAATTTTTGAAAATTTTGGCTTCGTCGCAATCTCTCAAAGTTATGACAAGTTTACCGTAATAACAGTTTTTTCCACTAAGCAACATAATCTGGTTACTATCTAACTGCTCTATGAAAGTGTTCTACATTCACTGGAATCAGCGGGTCTAAAAATCCCATCATGAAGTTTCCAAATTCAAAAATTTTGAAATAGCAGCTGTTTAGCATTGAGAACGTTGTGCTCGAAGTTTCCAATCCATGATGAAGAGCAATGGGTAACTTGTTACCGTAAATTTGGCTTGTAGCCAGATTCATGGTATGTCCAGTGTCTGTGAAAGGAAGTTTCACAGACACTGGACGGCCAAACATCTGTTACGGGTTTTGGGACACCTTGTACTCCAAAAAGTGTTCACACTTTCTATTACCCTATTTTCAGGAGTATAAGCCGCACCCTTTTGCTTCAAATGCGAGCAGACCCAGGCGTGCCGCCACGCATATGTCTCGCGAAGCGGTCGCCTTATCGCATACTGCTCTCACTTAACGCGCTCTATGATGACAGTCAGTCTTTTGGCGTGTTCGCCTTTAAAGTGAAAAGGGTGCGGTTATACACCTGAAAATAGGGTAGAAATTTTTGCCACTTACACAAATACAGTAAGGAATTTATCAATTGGCTTGCTGGAAGGCGGGGCTTTGTAACCTAGTTAGGGCTAGATAATGAGCAAAGGTCATGCTCGCGGGAGAAGAGAGACGCAGGTTGCGTCGCGGGTGCGAGCGGCCTTAATTAGATCACAACCGCCCCCCCCCCTTCCAGCCGCCACAGAATCAAAGGTTATTTCTATATTTTATGTATTTTGTATCATTTTTCAAGCTTCATTTCCTCTTAAATTTCTTATATCTATTTTTATTTATACGCAGTAGTAAAAATAACTTTCGTATTTGCCGCAGAAGCAGTAACTGCTGCAAGTGTAAACGAGCTCTCTTTTTTTGTTTCATTTGCTCTACCCATTAAGTCAGATCCAGTTTAGTTTGACTTTTTGCTGGGTTCATATTTGCTACTGTTTCATTTACTTTAGCGCTGAATTAGCTATCGATGCCAGACTATCGTACCATTACCGTACTTTTCAAAAAAAATGTTGCCCGTTGTACACATTTTGCCTTTTTATTCCCACCGATCTTGTTTTATAAGTGTTTGTTTTGATTCAGCCTCATCGATCGGATCAAAACAATTCCAGATTGCAACCACCAGCCATTGTTCGTCATCCCAGACAGCCTTATCTCACCAGACTTACAAGAGAGAATCCAGTCAGTACAAGCGTACTACAAACAATGTTCGACAACATTGAAAGACCGGAACTGAAACGATTCGCTGAGGTTCTTTTTTTTATTTCGTTAGGGTAGGGGTGAAAAATAAGGGGAGAAAATTTGGGCGCTTTTTGTGGTAAAAGAAACTAGTCAAAATCCTGGAATTTTTCATAGTTTCGTTAGGATTTCTATTGCAGGATAATAAGGGAAAGGAGTGGTTGATACCAACAACTGTTGAAGAAGATATGCGAAGAAATAACTCTGCTGATTGGAATATCGTACCCACTACTGTAACCCCGCCGAAAGTGAACCAGGGGTAAGTAGCTACCGTATTGTTTTTTCTGAAAATGGGCCATGTCGCAATTTTTTTGACATTCGTCATTCCTTTTGAGTACTCAACCTCCAGATTGTAAATTTTCCGGCATGACATTTGTCTCCGATGGCCTTGACTACGCCTTCTTGCCGTCCTTACCAATAAAGGCCCCGAATTGAAATGATCTGATTTGCTTAACTGGTCGCAAGATTGCGTATTTTGTAGGACACACGGCGCAACGAATTCCTAACAAGGCGGAATGTGAACTTGCAAGGAAAGTCGCAAGCATGTGACCGCTGATAAATCAAAAAATTTGCGTATAACTGATGAGTTTGAGCAAAAAAACCATAATAGTGAAATTGTACGAAGTCATCAATCAAAACGAGCTCTTTGTTCCACATTCTTGTTCACTTCTAATACGCTACTTAAGTTGCCAAAACACACTAATCAGATTTCCATTGCTATAGAAAGGTATTACATTCATGGGGTTTCCATTCGCTATTATACAATTGGAACTAACCTTGACTATCATAGGGGGGGGGACTGTATTGGTAAATAAGAAGTCCCTTTGTTTGACTATATCATTTTCGACAATTTCTGGGAGTCTTTACCAAATAGTTATCAGTTTGAGTTGTATAATATGCGTGTGTATCAGTGGCGGTACCAGGATTTCCATTCGCGGAAAGGGGGGGGGGGGAGGGAGAAGGCCGACAATTTTTTTCCGAATCAAGCCAATCAGTGCCATTATCCACGCACTCTGAAACTTTCTTTGGGATGTTTTCCAAAACTTTTGCTAATTCATGCCTTTTGTAGAAGATGTTAGAAAGAACCCTAAAGTGAATTTTTGAAAATTCAAATTTTATATTATGTACAAGTAGAAACAAGTCACTTCAGCTTTCAAACATCTGGAATTGCTTTGGGTCTTGAACGAAAGTTTTTGAGAGAAGTGCTTCATAAATAAAACCCAAATATATGGACAAGTATTACAAAAAGGGATAAATAGGTAAATAAACGAGGTGATAAATAAATGAGTAAAATGGGTATGGCGAGAAAGTCCAACCTGAGGCCAGAACTTTGCCTTGATTTAAAATGAGGACTTCTGAATAACGAAAAAAATGAAAAATTTACTTAGCGGCTAAAGGCGAAATTATGGATTTTGAACTTCTATCTTTAAGTGCTGAAATTAAATCGAGCTAGTTTCTGTGACTGGTTTGAATTGTTAGTGACTTTAAAATTGACTTACCAACAATTTTTGACTATTTACCGATTCCCAAGTATCGCAAATTATCATATGTTATATTTCAAATTTTTCCGACGCCAAACGAATTTATCGCATAAGACGTCTGTTCTCCTTGATATATGGATGAAAAGTAATGCTATTTAGTGAAATGATCGACGAAACTATACAAGCAAGGAAACGCATTGTCTGCTCGAAGATGTCCGAAAGTTTGAAAGTCATCGAAAATTCTTGCGCACAAATCAACAAGGTAGGCTTTCTATTACTTTGGTCCTTTTTTCATTTCTTTGCCAGTTTTTTTTTCTCTTTGTTAATTCATGAACGGTAAATCAAAAATGTGGCTAGTGACTCATTATTCGGCTGATGACCTTTATGTAAGCTTTGATTCAACGGATTGGCGGCTGAAAGGGCGCTCGCGCCCGCGACGCAGTCGGCGTCTCTCTCGCGCTCATGCTCTCTGATCATCCTCTAAACTTAACTAGGTCACGAAGCCCCGCCTTCCAGCCGCCAAGCCTGTTCAATCAAAGGGTACTTCCACAAAGTCACTGTTTGGATCCTGTTATTCTATATGGAATTGCTAGTACGCAAAAAATACTAAAAAATTATATTTTCAGATCACGGCGCCACAACATTGGAGAGCACCACATCTTCTACAAGCAAGTCTTAATAGTTTGCGTGATGCAGTTATCACAGCCCACGAAGCTGTGGATATGTTTGTGGATGGAACTCATCGAATTTCTATCGATAGAAAAAATCCTAAGGCTGATGGTGGGTATATATAAGGGTGCATAGTTTCATTTTGTCACGAATTTATTTATAGAGTTTGACGAGCTTCTAAAGCCCTTGCTCGATTTGAAAAATCACATGGCAACGCTGCGCAAAAGTCTTGACAGTGCTGGCTGGACGGTTGCCGTTCTGTCCAGAGATAACGAAAGTCCCCATTCTTTGGATGCACTGGAACAAATTATTGCTGCTTTGAATAAGGTAAAAATTAGCGCCTTAGATCTTTTGAAAGCAAAATGAAGTATAATCGCTTTTTAGGCGCCATCCGATTGTCGACGTCTTCTGCAATGGACACAAATTCTTATTCCTTCACCGACGGTTGTATTCCTTAGCCCAATGGTTAATATTAAGCCAGAGCTTCCAAGGCCTATGAATACAGCACGGATGCCAGATAAATCCTTGAACTTGCTAGGGTGAGTTGAACACTATTTATGGCCAGAAATGAGGCGAAATGGAAGGGCGAAAGAGCAGGGGGAGGGACGGGGAGGGCGCTTAAAGGCACCGTCCACCCAGATTCTCGACTTCCATGTTTTGATCGTTCCGTGGCCTTCTCATGTCCCTAATTCCGAATATGAAGTCGAGAATCCGCGAAAACTCCAACAATCCCCGTTCCGTAGAATCCGCAGACCGCTTTTCGGAACGGTGATTGAATGGATGCGCACAGAGGGCGGCATGGCTGGGAAGGGCGGTGCTGTCTGGGGGTCCTCGTGCATCTTCGTTATTCCGGAGCCGTTTTCTCGCTTTCGAAGCGACATTTTGCACCGCGACTTGGGCATTTCGTAGGGGGCCCGTACTATCCATATGCTGCCAAAAGCTCAAGACCTTCAGCTTAGGGTGGACGGTGCTTTTGAAGGTCGATAATAGTTTGAAGTACAAAGAGTCTTTGAACCATCACATTGGTACTCTTCTCCATCTTATACATAAGGCATGGATTTTTTGAACCACCCGCCATAACGCGCGCCTCTGATTGGTCAGCGCTTTCTATGATTGACTGGGTTTGAGCAGCGCATCTGTAACACATGCGCGCTTCTTTTCAAAACAACTTGTGTTAGCTGTCCGCGCTGCTGGAAGTTATTGGCGAACTTCTGTCCTTTACCCGACTGTGCGTAGGGTTAATACAGATAGAATGTGATGCTTTCGGTTGGGCAAGTGGTGTAATTCGTCCACTGTTCTAGCGACACCGCAAGGAAACGAACATTGCATGCGAATTTTGGAAGCCTACTCATTGTTTCAAGTTGTTTTGTGGCTAAGGGGGAGAAGAAGAGCGAAAAAAAGAAGAATTCCAAAACCTTTGTCTTAGGAAGATTTGCTAATCTAAAATCATCATGCACACTTACAGATCCCCTCCATTTTTGGACGAAACCAAGCGCTTGTCATCATCGTCGACGTCTACCGTAACCTCATCGGATTCATCCCAGCCATCTTCCATCTTGGTCACCAAACACAACGGTGACAAGCCCAAAGGACGAGTTACCTTCGCTGATGAGGTAATTTACTGGAGAATAACCACTATTACCCTGATTTGCCTTTTGTACCAAGGGCCAAACCCAATTTTTTCAGCCCCGCGATCGTCCATCCGCTGCCTCCTCGGATTCGAGTCAGGACTATTCTAAACAGTCACAGAGCAACGGAACGTCTAAGTATACGCCACATCGTCTACAGGAAACTAGGATAATTGAAGAAGATGATTTGGAGTCTGTTGTTAGTGAAGGAGAGAGCTTGTATCAGGTAAAAATTCGCAATTTCTGGCAAAATCTGCGTAATTTTCAAAGAAAATACTCTAGGACTACGCTTATTTGGACGATGTTGTCCCAGGAAGATCGAATGGTACAGTAGGAAATGGATATAATAATAGTAATATAAGCGATGAGGTTTGGCGTCTACTAATCTAACACTAAAAAGTTCTGGAAAACCAGTTTTTTTTGTTAGGACCGTCAACTCGTCCGCTTTTACGCTCCACAGCTGGATCAACACACAGAATCGCTTTCCCTAGCCGTTGAAGAATTTTTAGGAACAGTCGAAAATAGCCTTCCTCCACGAGAATTTGTGCAGAAAGGGAAGTTGGTAAGTTATCATTATTCATATGCCTTCCCGACAGATTTCCCAGAATATTTGTTCAGATTATTTTGGCCGCTCATAAATTGATCTACATCGGAGATACAGTATCCCAGTGTGTTTCCGATCAAGCGGCAAGCAATAGCCTTCGGCAATGCGCTGATCGTCTTTGTGAACAACTCAAGGAATGTGTAAAGGCTACGAAACTGGCATCGGAAGAGGTTGGTGTTAGGATGGCCGTCAAGATATGTTTCACAATTATATTATTACCTTGTCAGATGGTGATTACTGAAATATACTATTTTGGGCCATAATTTTCGAGCTAAAACAAAAATATTCGCCCGTTGTTACTATACAAATAAATTTTTTTGATCTGTAAAAATCCATACTGAAGCTGCTAGCTTGGTGGGTGCTGACACATCTCTCGTTTTTGAAGTAGGCTTCAATCATGAAATTCTGCGCCATTTTCATCGTAGTCCAAACGCTCAATTTTTTATGCGCACTTCCTTCATTTTTCAAAATCTCCAGTGGACGTGTATAATTTTTCTTGGGAGACAGCTTTTTTGCACGACATTATCCAGCCGCCACCGTGCGTGCCTTGTCTCAACAAGAAAGCTACACTACCGGTCTAGTTCTTAGCCCCGAAACCGGTCGTGTAAAGAACAGTAGTTACCTTTCGGATATTTTGGAATTCTTTGAATATTCTTTCTTATTGTGGACTTATCTCTTTGTTTATGTGGCCGCGAAGGGGTCCTGTATGGAAAGTCATTACGGTTGTGCAAATCGGCCTACACCTATACCTTCGCTACAGCGTGTTAGCGCTTTTGGGAAACCCTCCTATTAATTTGTTCAAAGTATGCAATATGGTATAGTCCAGATCTATGCTCATGTATAGTTTTGTTTATAGTTCAGTGAAAATCGAGATAATAGGGGCAAAATTCAACGAATGTATGAGCTTCGATGATCGCTGCTGAGCATCCTTCAGGACGAAATTTTCTAGCCCTCATTTTGAAGGCTGCGCCTAGAGTTGCCTGTATGCCAGGGCGTGCCAGCACCATGCCAGCGCCGTGCCCAAACCCACATCCGCTCCTCGTGTTTTTCGATACAGGCGTACAGGCGCCGGCACGGCGGTAGCAGTTGCTGACTAGATGCTGGCAAGTGCAACCCCGGACCCGCTTAGAGCGCACCAGTGGATAGTGTCTTCCAAGCAAAAATGTCCAAATAGATAAATGCTTCTGTTTAAATCAAAAGTATTCCTTTCAGTATCCGGAATTGAAGAGCATGCAAGGAATGGTGGACAGTATCATAGCTGTTTCGAAGACCGCACACGAGATGAAATTACTAGTAAAACGATGGTGCTAGTCGCTACGAGAGTCCGTATCAAGTCGAAACCGCTGAAGAAGCACACGTCGTGCCATTTGTGCTGTAAATGAGAGCTATGCGCGTCGTAGATTTTTAGTGACCGATTGCGATTATGTTTTGATGACCCCCGTCTAGTTTGCTTGTCTACGTTCGTCCCTTCTCCCCAATTTGGCCGTAGGAGAAGACGAATCTGTGGACGGACACGAACAACTCTAGTCCATACGCTACGCTTTATGATACTCATCCCTTACCCGTATTTTGTTCGGATTCATTTTTGATTTATTTGGTCGCGCGCGTTTGCTGTTTAGAATTTACATATCGTTAAGCTAAAGGTCTTCTTCGTTTCCCCTTCTCTGTGTGAATAATGCGCATTTTGCAACTTGGGCGCGATTTTCCATATTCCATCCCCGCCTAAATCCCGAGTGTCCAGATTTGTTGCCTTCGGAACTTGCTCACCCCTGACGTGTGCGTGTGTGTGATTGATGTAGATTGATTGTAAATAAGAATAAATATGTGTCAGTTTCTAAGATAAATATTTTCAGGTTGATTTGTTGTTACATTTTTTTCAATTTTAAAGTTTTATTTGGAATCCTTTTCCAATCACACTTCAACTCTTTGGACGTTTCGTACATTGCTTACGCTGAACTGAGCGTTTAGTACGCGTTGCTGAAATTAAAAAATTGTTCGTTGTAAGCTTCTAATGCTAAGCGGCCCGTGCCAGCGCCGTGCCAGCACACCGCTACAGCATCGTGCCAACCCTGGGCCGGTACTATCCTGGTGGATTCAATCGATCGATACAGCGCGCCCAGTGGGTCTCGATACCAATGCTGGCGCGTTGAGCATACGGTCATCTGGACGCAGTCTAAAGAAATTATAAGAGTCCCCACATGTGGTGTCGTCCTAAATCCGCCATGGCCGCGGTTTAGACGTTCGGAAGCCGCGCGAGGCTTAGGAACTTCACCATCACCATATTCGGCAATGTACTGTGACTGATGAAGAGCAGTGAGATAAGCGACAGCTGCGTTTTGTACTCGATTCATATGGCATTCATGTGCTGTTACGAACCATTCGATCAGAACGTCCATGGATTCGCTGTTCTAAAAATCTGTTTGGTAAATCAAAAAATTAGATTCTGATCTGAAATTGCCTGTGTATTTGATAAAATAGTCAAAGCTACGTACCTCAATGACATCCATGTAACCAAGCCGTTCCACAGCTACCATCAAACTGCTAAGTTGCATGACGTCAAACCTTCAACAAAAAGTCTTTTAAGAATGAATTTGTACTAAGGGAAAGGGGTACCGATTGCCTAAATTGAAAATATCCCTTGATAGTGAAGGTGATATCGTCGGAGGTGCTGAGAAGGTTGACGTAACCATGAATGTGACAACCTAAAAGGGCTCTCTTATACTCTGGAGCATAGAAAGAGGGGACCACAAGCCCCGCCCCAAATCACGCCCTCTTTTGGCTTCCACTGCTTCTACACATAGTATCATGGGGTAGAGGAGGTCATTCGCCAATGAGCTCCGAGTTCGCGAGCACCTAGTTCGGACTGTAGTTCGTTGAGAGGCATTGTTTGTGGCAGTTGCCCGCACGAGCGGAGCCTATCGACGACATAAAGTCATCTACCCATTACTATGACATCTGAAGATAAACGGACCGTTCGCGCAGCTTCAACTGCTACGTCCAAGAATTCCATCCTTTCGGAATCTCTTCCCGTTCCATTAAAATATTCTCGAAAATATGGTGAGCAGAAGTATAGAGCTTCTTTTGATGTGTACATCTGGCCATCTCGACATACGAGAAGGAAATCGTGGGTAGATCTAAAAACTTTATTGGTCAGGAAAGGTCGACCATCACCTAGGTAATGGAAGTAAGGATTAAATCCGAGTAATAGCACAAATGAACAAAAATTATGGATCTGCACCTTCTACCTTAATTTCACTTTCTTCAAAGTAAAACATAGGCCTTTTCGCGCAAAGATTGTGTACCGTACTTGGGTCAAAGTTTTGCCGCAGTTGGATGATCGCACGCAAACACTGTGCGCCATTGCGTCTTGAAAATAGTTCGTGTTTGGAAGAGGCAGTGGCGGTAAGACGGACGAAAGTGCGCTTAATCAGGGAGAGCGTCCGCAATGACACTCTGTCTCTGCATGCAATAATTCGCCTGTACTATCTACCTCGAGTACAGAGATACAGCCGGTGTGGACGAAAAAGCTAGAAGAAATGAAAAAACCCTGAGCCTTTAATTCTCCCCTACAAAATTTTCGAGCGGTTTGCATTTATTGCAGCGTCTTAACTAACACCTCTATTAGTGGGCTATCAAAGTACGGCTATCATGTTTCTTTCCCTCCTCTTCACCTCGACGCCTGAGAGAAAAAAGCCAACTTGTCGTCTAAAAGTCGAAAACGCCAATCAAGATGTAGTGGCGTTGACGGTGGAAGCAACTCCCATTCCGTGACTCTGAATTGCGATTGAGATATCGTGATCGTAGTAGTAACTTCGCACAATCGTCCTGGAATTGCGCTAGATCGAAGTAGGAGCCATCATCGAAATTTGAGTGAATTTACCAGCAAAAGAGGCTCCTTGATAGACTTGAATTAACGTTGAGCCGATGCTTGAGCTGGGTGGGACTTTGAATCCTTGGGTTCTTTCGTTGGGTGGTGGAATTACAGTACACGGCTCCGGTGTCAGCAGCTCTGACCGTTGAGTCCTATACTTTTTGAATGAGTTTAGATCAGCAAAAAACCTTGTCCAGTTTGTCGATCTCGAACTTTCAGTTGAAAAGTACACTTTGTGGCCTCAGCGATGTGATCTCTGAACATGGCTGGTCGAAGGCGAAGCTGAAAAGGAAAATTATTGCTGGAAATGTTAAAATTAATATCAACCTGGACATGTCTGTTCCTTGCTCCGGCTCCTCGAAATGCTCCAAAAGTGTCCGGGCCGACACGAATCTCCCTGAAAACTCGCTTCATAAGGATGCGTCCAGGATTACCTTCTCCAGCACGTGCCAGCGCCGTGCAAGCACCGTTTCGCTCGTGTCAGCGCCATTCTAACGTTATGCAGGAACCCAGTGTACGCAAGATGCAATACCGATCAACATAGTGCGCAATTGCAAGCGACGTTAGCACGGAGCTAACACGACGCTGGGACGAAACTGCCATGGGCAACTAGAAGCACGAGTCTTATCAAACACATACCAATCGTGGATCACTGGACCGTTCACTGTCGAAAACACGTCTATTTCTCTGATGACACCCATCGATGGTTGAATGGGAAACTTCCAGAAGTGAATGAATGTTAGGTCTTGATCTGTATTGCTTGACATAACCGCAGATTGTGAACACTTGACTAAGAATGGAGGAAACATACCGCAAGTTCCTTTTTATGGAGAATGCTATCAAGTTCTCTATTCGATACTGACTTATACATTTGCTTCGACTGACTACTTGTGGTCGGGATGTTCTTTAGATATCATAACTTATAATAACGGGCTAAGGATGTTTACGTGACTTTGTGTGTGTGTGTGTGTGAGAGTGTGTCTGTTACGAAATTCGTGGAGCGTGTTCCAGCCAGCGTTCTAAGCCCAAATTTTGTATAGCGCATGCTACCTTCATGAAAGTCTAACATGCAAAAACACGAGTAGATTCGTTGAGTGGATCCCTCAGAAATTGCGCGCCAATCGGGTCCAACTGGCTTCTGTACCGCAGAATTCGGTCCGTATCACCACTTTTTGCAGAGTCGTGGATGAGTTTGGTAAGGAAATATGCAAGCGATGGAGTTTAGCCCCGAAAAGTGGTCGAAAGTTTACCACATAACGAAAACGGCGCCAAAAAGAATTGGTTGTGTAAATGGTCAATTTGCCAAGGTTCTAGCTAAGCGTTTGAGAAGATTTTCGCACAGAGATTTAGCTCACGGTTACTATTACCTTTATGGCGACTACCAAGGCATGACAAATCCAAAAACCTATTCAAATTTGCGTTTGTCTTCCTGCGAAAACTTTCGTCCACGCGAAATCACCGATCTCACATGAAAAAGCTGTTCAAATGAGTGATTGTTTACATCCTATTCGTGGTAGTCGGCCACTGCGCGGTGTGTTTCAGTGCCATCATTATGGGAAAGTAATGAGGCATATGGATAGTAGAGCCAGTGCGAGCCTCTGCGAAGCAGAGGTGACGCACTGGTTGGCTTAAAAAAGTGAAAATCTCTTAAAATTAACGAGGTGGACCGCTTACACCCCAACTATGAGAACAAAGCAAGTGCGAGCGCACAGCACTCTGCCTGCCAAGAAAACTGCCTCAAATCCATGTGCGCAAACCATATACAGGTTGTCCCAAAAAATGCGCTTACTGTTTGATTGTAAATAACTCTCTTGTAATGAAATGTTTCGAGAAGGTTTTGTAGAGCAAGGTTAAACTTAGATTTACAGTATGGAGCGAAATGATCGATCGCTATTCATTACTTTAGGATTACGGTAAGAACTTCCAGCATATGGAACCAATGTGAAATATACCGCCTAACAAAATTTTCTCCAAAAAATCTGAAAAATTGTGTACCGGGGTTTCCGCGCTTGCTGATTCCGACTGTTTGATTGTAAATAACTCTCTTGTAATGAAGTGTTTCGAGAAGGTTTTGTAGAGCAAGGTTAAACTTAGATTTACAGTATGGAGCGAAATGATCGATCCACCTAACAACTTTTTACGAGTGTTTCAGCTTTTTTGACGGTGTAATCACGGTGTAATCATTTCTGACCAATGCTGGGAATTGAGTTATTACGATTTACCGGTGATAACTTTTAAAAGAAGCGTCGCAGTAAAATGGGAATTTCACATTCAAAATCAGCGGCTCCCGTTACCGTCGTATAAGAGTTTTTGGCTTGTTTGATTTTGTTCCCAGGCAGAGGTTAGCCTCCAACGGCCTAAAATCTTTGTCAAAGTTGGTACCGTAATCCTACACTAATGAAGAGCGATAGATGATTCGCTCCATACTGCATGTCTAAGTCTAACCTTTCTCTACAAAATGGTACCTAAAGCTTCTCGAAACACTGCATTACAAGAAAGTTATTTACAATCAAACAATGGGCACATTTTTTGGGACACCTTGTATACATGCGCTCCGACGAACTCGCGATTTCCCTTCCATCTTTGTATGCTGCAAGCCACAGTGTTATAAAATAAGGGTCCCGCGATATCTGAAATTCCAACCATAACGAGAACTGTTCCATTCATCCATATTCAGGAAGAAAGGCTTAGCGAATTGCTGTTGCTTGCCATTTTTCTCCCTCAAAGGTGATATTTTAAGATCGACGCGTCAAATTATGCAGTAGACAAGGAATTTTCAGGTCGAGAACTTGTCGAGCCATTTACTTTGAAATGCCAGAAAAGGATTTTGCACCACTATTTCACATTGCTCAAAACTATCATAACCCATAGTAAGCCGCTTAATCTGTTGCCATGTGGAGTGTGTCCGCTATGAAATTACAGTGAGGAATGATTTAGACCTTGACTGTGGCGACTAGGTAGGCTCATGGCGTCTAGATGTAACACGAGGCCTGACGCTCGCCCGAAACTATGCGACGTACAGTCTGCCCCAATCCTAAGCAGGCCAAAATTGGCTTGGCGGGAGTGCACGTCGCGAGGGTTTCGCGCCACTTCTGCGTCTAGCTAGTCTGCTCTCTCCTCAATCTCTTCGCTCTCTGCGACAGCGCGCGTATGCAGCGGCAAACCCCCAGCGCTGCGAGCGCGCAAATTCAGCCGACGGTTCGGCCTGATCCCGATTGGAGCAGACTGTACCTATCCTACCGCGAACCTAACGCGCGACCGAAATAAACGTGAAGTTGATTAAGTGGTTTATCCCTATGACACAAACTACAGTTAAAAATAGACGAAAAGAACACTAGACTAAAAACAAGTTACTACCACTACTAAATGGAACACGGGATGAGGACCCGTCACATGCTACCGATGCGCGTCTACAAGTAATCTCAAAAATACACGTGGCTTCCGAAGTTTCGCGCAACAAATCCACCGCGCAACGCCGTGTAGACGACGGCACGTTCCCTCCAGCTCTTGTAGGTGTTCGAATTCCAACTCGACATGCAATTCCGATAAATACCACGGCGCGTCGAGATGCGCTGAGAAAGAGAATCCATTTTACAATCCAAAGAACATCCGGCTCAACTGCTCTTACAAAAAGGGCGGGAGCATAGCGGCTGTAATGATATTCAAACAAGTAATGAAATTAATCAATTAAAACGAAGACGAACCAGGCACCAAAGTGAAGCGCCGCCGCTTTATATAGCCGCCTGGCTGGCAACGAGCCAATAAAAGAAAGAGGTCCGGAGACGATCGCGGCAACACGGGTCTCGGCTACCATAATCATCGCCGCATGGCGCGGTAACCGATGCCCCCGGCCTCGTTCGAGGAGCGCCTTGCATCGCGAGACGCGACATGACCATAACCATGTATTTCGGTCGCGACGCGATCTGGCAATTTGCCAGATGTCTCCAAATCAAACACTTCAGATCGCAAATGCATAGTTTGTATAACCTCCGTAAATTGATAAAATACCCTATTCTTTGCACATTCAGAATGTGCGCATGATGATTTATGCACAATTAGAGCATTGACATATCGCGTCACAGTCGAAATCGCGTAGGTTTGACCAAGACCTTGTATCGCTTTGAAGCATGTGAGAGCAGCACGACATGGGAGATTTGTTTTTGATCGGGATTACCTAGCGGTTACTCGGATGAGAAATGATGCACCTCTTAAAGTTTACATGATAGATTGCCTAATGACCAGTGCGAGCTTTTGCGAAGCAGAGGTGACGTACTGACCTTGTGTTATTCTCTATCCTTTCTCACGCGGTAGAAATGTAAGAGGGTTTCCCACACTAATGTGTATTGTTAGCTAGATGTTTAGCACCTACGAGTAACTAGTGGCTGAATCTGGCTGGTAATTTTATTTAGAGCAAAATCAGGCGTTTTGTTCTAAAATCGCTTGTGAAAGGAACACTTTCATAAGCTGCACACTATGCGCGGCAACCGATGACATCCTTGAAGTAACTCCTCAATAAAACTTTCAGTGTATAGTCGCCCTCACCCCACTAGTCGGTCGGTGGACGAATTCAAATTTGAATTGAAGCAGGCCTGTCACGACAGAGCGTGGCAGGAGACAATTACGAAAAACTCAATATAGATCAAAAACGTTGTAACTGTCGAGACGCAGACCAATTAGATGGTCCGACAGTCTCCTCGCCGACTTGGGCGGTGCCACCAACTTCAGATGAGCTGGCACTCCCCGGGTGCTCGGTGGTCCCCTCCCCAATTATGTTCCCCTTATTTATATTGATGTTATAACGATAAAAGGATCTAGTCAAGAATTGTTATGTTAGTACAAAGGGAAGAAACTTAGAGTAGAGGGATCAAGTTAAGAGATTAGCTAACTCTTCAAACTTGACATGGAGGTCCCGGGTTTTTCTGAACTTTTGTCGCATAACTTTTTTCACTAAAAAAAAACTAAGCATAGATTAGGCCAATCTCTGCTGAATACTCTCACCACCGGCACCAGCCCTCATCTCCTACGTGAATTACGTAGCCCTTTTTTATATTTACCCTTTCTTTTATCTTTTCCCTTGAGTCCAGGCGATGGGTCTGAGTGTGTTTTTTCTTATTTTGTCATATTTTTTGTGTCATAGTGGGTAATGAATATAATCATGTATTCTTTACCTACTGTGTGTTTGACAGTCTTTTTTTGTTTTATAGCAGATAATGAATATATTACTACATTGAATATGGTATATGATATTTTTTATCTGCTGTGATTCCTTACAGTTTTTACCGTGATACCACGTGAAGAACCGTAAATATTTACTCTTTCTTCCTCTAGCCCCCTTTCCCCACCCTATTTATTTAGAAAAAAATCTAAAATTTTTCATTTTTTAAACATAATTTACTCTGTAACTTCTACATTTTCCCTTTCATAATCTATTATCTTTCCAAAACATGTAAAATTCATTTTCACAACCATTTTTCACCATATTTCGCCTACAACTTTACACACTATTTTCAATCACTTATTTTCTTCTTCCTCACTTTCCATCGTTATTTTTTACACAAACTCAGGGACTCTATCGCCAACGCCGGCACTGTACATATGTATAAAATTTTTATAATTGTGTTTAATTGCCATAGCCGTTTTGTAATTGCCGCAGTTCCACAGGCGATCTAGACGCCTGTGGATAGTCCGTAGGCTATGTTGCCTATGGTGATTCCATAGGCTATGTGATAGCCCATGTAATTACCAGAGGCCCTTTTCCCAGTCACGCTGGTTGAGAGCGTTATTATCTAATCTTGAGT